ACCGTATTTCGTGACAAATGCGGTTTTCCTCCTGTCTTCCTGTTTAATCCTGACTTGCCAGCAGGCAGAGTTGGCATCCAATTTCGAAAACCAAGTGCTGTTTGCTAATGTGTCGAGGCACTCGTCGATCAAGGGTAGAGGGAAGACGTCTTTCCGAGTCCAGGCATTAAGCGCCCGAAAATCAATGCACCAGCGCACACCTCCACATTTCTTGCGGATTAACACTGGCGCCGAGGCCCTATCCGCACTTGAAGGCTGGATGACGCCTCCCTTCAGCATCTTTTTGAGATGTTCCTCCTCTTCTTCTGCGAAACCAAGAGGTGTGGTGTGCATCTCAACCCCGGTGTCTATGGAATGTCCGATGGCTGAGAAGTCTCCCAGGTCAAGCTCGTCCCGGGCGAACACGTCCTGGAATTCAATCAGAAGTTCTGCCAACTGGCGCCTATCGTCATCCTCCAACTGAACCTTCGAACGTTCAAATAAGTCTGTCAAATAAGGTGGGACCACTGGCATCCCGATCTCTTCCACTGGATCCGCCATCCCTGTGACTCTGCACTGATACGGACTCTTATTCATTCTACAACGTGTCATTGTAGTCTCATATTCCGGCACAATAACCTCAGCTTCAGACGCCACACCCACTTGTTGACCGTGGAAGAAATTAATGTGTCTATCAGAGGTGTTGATGAGGCACACAACTGGCTCTGCTCCCCCCTGGTGTATGGTCCGAGGCATCAGGGCGTGTACCAGGACTCCCAGGACAGGCTCCACCATGTATTGTTCTATTTTTTTATCCAATCGTCCCGTCACCCGTGTGACAGTCTGGGGCTTCAGTACCACAGCGGAGGTAAGAAAGACATCGGGACATTTTTCCCCCCGATGGTGATGTTTTGATACTCGAAACTGATGTTAGTGCAGTTGTTCATCAGGAAGTCTGTTCCCAAGATTAGCGAGTCTCCGATTGGGGCTACCAAGACTTCTTGTCTATACGTCCTGCAGTGAATTCGCAGTCTGGCAGGCTCTGTTACCCATCCCCTCATCCTCAGGTCTCCCCCTGCATTGTTTACCATGACCTCCTGCACTAGGACTGGTTTGTCTGATAGCCCATCATAGAACGTATCCGCAATAAGGGTTACATCAGCCGCACTGTCCACTATTCCCACTGTATTCACACCTTGAAAATCCACCTTGATCGTGTAGGAGGCACCTTGGCTAAGGGCATGGATTGTAATCATTGGAAGCCCTGTCTCTATGTCAATCTGTCTGGCCTATCCGCCTTCCCCCTACATGTTTAAAGTCACGCCCCCAGACGGCTCTACAAAGGACACCTTTCTCTCCTCGCTGGGGCTCTTGCGGGGACAATCTGCCTTGAAATGCCCCTCAACTCCACAGTTAAAGCATCCCTTAGTGCGACGGCTAGGGCTCGGAGACCTTTGACATCCTCTACTGTTCACATTCTCCGCCAGCTTCGTGACCATGGTCTTGATTTCCTCCATAGAAGTTCTGTTCTCTTTTATAGAAGTTCTGATCTCTTTTATAGAGGTCCTGGTTTCCTCTGCAAACAGGGTGAGGCTACTGACTTTCTGTTCCACAGCTTCCAGTCTCCCTGTTATCTCTGTGCCAGAATCGCCAGAACTACCCAATGACTTGGGGCTCGAGGTTTGAACCACCTTTACCCGTGTTTCTGGTGGTGGTGATTTGTCGGTAGCGACCTGTCGTATCTCCCGACGGGGCCTTCCATACACTGCCTGTGTGTTATGCTGGTATTGGCGCAAGCTTGCAATGGCGACCTCCAGAGTCCCTGGTTTCATGTTAGAGACGAATTGTCCAGCCTCCTTGTTTTCGCATCCTTGGCAGAGACGCATTATCACCTGTCGATGATGAACTGGTCTGGACAATCCCTGAAAGCTACCACAGCCGTGGCCAATAATCTGTGCCCAGTCTTCTAATGTCTCTCCCCCCTCTTGCCTCATGGTAGGGAATCGTATCTGTGCCGTCTCCGCAAGTTCACTGCGTTCAAACCGTTTTTGTAGTTTAAACACTATATCCTCGAAGGACAAGTCCGCGTCCCGGTCCAGGCACATAGTTATATAGTCACTTGCCACGTCTCGCATCACTAACGTGAGTTGATCCTTTTTCTCCTGTTCCCACCAACCCTCTCTGTGGGCCAATGTTTGGAATTTGAGGTAGAAACCTGACCAACCAGATCTTCCGTCATATGTTAGGTTAGGGGTACTATGGCTTTGGGACTGGTCTCTTGCTCCTTTCCGTCGTTCGGGGACTCTGCCAACCGGACCTCTATTCATGCCCCTATCCCGTCTAACTCCGTCACCCTTGCGGCTAGGCTCTCGTGGGTCCTCTCGTTCATCCACGTCACTCTCCTCGGCATGATATCTATCCATGGGGGCCCGGTCCTGGTCGCCTAGACCATCCGAATCTCTTCTATCAGGGCCTCTTCTACTAAGTCCTCTGTCCAGCGTGGTCTGGTCACTATCAGGTAATTCCTGCTTGACCACCTTGGGATCCAGTGCGACTTGATGGTCAATTGCTGACTGGTAGCTGTTCACTTGCTTGGGCAAAGGGTAATCCCCAGTGGATGGATTCACCCCATGTGCATCCATGCTCTTCCGGGAGTTAAAGGGTGAGCTGTGGCCCCAATTGGCTCCCTTGCTTGGGGTCCCTTTGTGCTGTACAGGCTTGAGTTCGCATACTCGCCAGAACTGTCCGATTGAAACTGGGGAGTACCTCCCTGTGGTGATCCTCGAGCATGCTTCCGATTCTGCTCCGTGGTCAGATAATCCACACTCTGCAACAACTGCTTGTGTTGTGAGTCCTTGACTCGCGCCCCCTGTCCACCCCCAACAGCGCTGTAAGTCGAGAGCGCAGGTGGTGGCCAACTGTAGTCCTGTTCCCTTGACACCTGTGGGTTCGGCGTTACCGGCTCATTTTTTACTGGCAGTGCTTTCCCGGGAGAAACCGCCTCCCCACTATACTCTCTCCCCTCCACTCTTGAAGAAGGGTGGTACTGTCTTTGTGGGCTGTCATCCAACCTCAGTTCCGGGTGAACCCGTGATCCCCTTTGGATACTGGAAACCATTTCCCGCGACGGACTCATAAGTGCCGGCCTGTCTTTATGCAGGCCCGAGTTACTCCCGCCCGGGCCTTGTAGTGTGGGAACCAAATTAGCCAAAGCCTTGACTATCTGCGAGCCAGTTTCAGCCTGGGCTGCCAGCATCTCTGACAGTCTCCTTTCCTGAGCCTCTGCCATGTTTTTCTGAGCCTCTGCCATGTTTTCTGATGGTCCAACAGGCTCTCCATAACTTCCCACCCCCTTGGATGTGTCTGGGTCTGTGCCATTCCCCCTCGGGCCTGGTCCTCTCCACCCTCCTGCATCCAGTTGTATGGATTTGTCTCCGGCTGTTGCACATGCCGATCCTCCATCCTCTCGGTATGGTTCCTTCGCCTGTTGCCATGGTCAGGGTTTATGGCAAAGTCTAACTGGCTCACCACCTCGTCACTGTCATCAAATCCCTCTAAACTGCGGACATCATCCAGGATGAGATTGCCCACCACACTTCTCAGGTCTATGATCCTCTGCGCCAGTCCTATATCAATCCCCTGGATTTCACATAGTTGAGACCAAGTGGCATAATTGACTCTCACCCCTGTATCCTCCATCTTCCAACAGTGTGTAGAATACTTTGGAAAATCACACAGAGCAATGAACAATAAATCTAGACAACTATTTATTCTGAATCCTAATGAAAATAACAATTCTATTCCTACTTCCCCTTACACTAAACACCTACGCTATTTGTTATGACCTACCAACTCACGAACTTATACGTCCGTGACGAAAATAGGTGACACTCGCGAGGCAATGTCAACAAACATCCGTTACGAGCTGTCACCAATTGTCACACACAACTACGCATGTGAAAGGGTCATAATTGATTTAAGAACATGAATTTCCGATACGCTACTGTTCCCTAATTATTATTTGTCGTGCACAGCCACGAAAACGGCCGTACTTGATCAACGCACGCAGATTTCCACGTGCGGTGAACTATAAATTTACCAGCCGATACGGAACCGGCCGTGAAAAGAAATCACTACTACAAAGTCGCACGGTACTAACCGGGCGACAAATGTTTCCACTCGTCGCAAAATGCTAAAGTTTCATTCAACTTTAGCCAAATATCCCTCTTGTCCCTGTAGCCAAGACAAGCAAGATGGCGACGGCGTGGCGGCAAAGTCGAGCAGTCGACGAATTCGGAAAAAATCTTTTCCCGAGAAAATTCGATGTGTTCACAGCGCCACTGTTGTGAAAACGATATCTCGGTTTCACAAACCTTGTTTTCTACTCACGTACAAGGGCTGTCAGTTCGTCAAGTCAGTATATAATTCAATACTGCATTGAGCTGGGTACTCGACCTGGTTTACTTACAACGATTGCTGACAACACTCTGAATCTGGGGTCTCCCGCGGTCAGCCACGGGACGACCTACTCGAACCTTTCCGAAGACCTCCGGAAACCTACGATCACTACACATACATCAACCAAGTCAGCGAGCCTGACCACCCGATCCCGTTAGCCGCCTTTTGCGACAAGCATAGTCACCTTTTACGGCACGCATGGGTTGCTGTAGACATATTCCATCCCGGATCTTCACGGAGTAACTCAAGTCAATACTGTATATTATCAGACCTGATTTGGAGCCAATATGCGTTTCTGTCGAAAGCCATGTGACCGCTTCTCGGCCAGTGAATATGGTGGATAGCTTTGCATTATATAATAAATCAACCAATAGACTATAAGTATATCAACTTTATATTTTTTATCAGAATGACAGGTATTGTGCAATACAAGCATATTTTATCTCGATATCACGTGTTGGCAACTCTTTCAATAAAACAGATTCATTATAACATAATTTGGCATGCCGACACACGATATCACCCCCTACTACTTTGATACGTTCAAAGATCGCATTACTCACCGCATATCAGTTGTATCAGGCAAAATGAAACGACAATCCTCACGCCCGCCATGTTTATCGACCAGGATAACTGATAACACTTATCTAGGGCTATGCACACTTCATTCGTCACCACTCGCCCCTTTCCGTAACCTGTAAGAAGACTCGTCCCCCTATCGATGAATGTTATGTGCGAAAATACGACAAACCAATCAGAAAGCGCGTATGATTTCTTCGTCAAAGAATCCCTCAGAAATAATTTTTGATTTTACATAAGTCTTGCATCTAAAAATATACCAAGGACACAGTTAAATGTGTTCAATCATACTGTATTATTCCGCACGTCCCGTTCTATATTAGTTATGCGTTGAGCTGCTACAGATATTAAAATCGAGGTACTGTGTATGCATTTGCCATGTGTGACTACAAATAGATTTGGGGCTCTATGAGTGAGGTGTTACTGACCAATTTCTCGACTTGATTTGATTTAATGTATAAGGTTGAACATAGCGAAATGAAGACAGTGTAAACTATCGGACCGATATCTGGAACTACGTTGGATGTTCCGGCTGTGTCATTAGGTTCCCTTCAAAGGGTAATTTGTTGCACCGAAAGTGTTTGTTAATGAAATGAATGTACACTAATGCACAATCAGATCATTCAAAGTAAACAGTCCCGATACAAATCATACGAAAGTTTCGTGGAAATGTACCTGACTTCTGATTCTGTGGCACTAAGCATCCCACATGAGAACAATATCATTAAGTATCCTTAAGTAAGACGCTGTGTCTGGATCACGGTTGTCTTTTCTTATTTTGATGGTGACCTTGTCCTTCGTTTGCCGCTGCCACTGATGCAATTGCAATTGTTGTTATTGTTGATACCTCTACTGTTAATCCACCTACTATATAAAACTGACGTTCAAAAGAAACTTTACCAGAGTTTGAAATCACTCTTGCTCAAAAACAACAAAACATACATGCATGAAGTAAAGTGTATTGAGAAGATCAATATATCAACATAATCAACACTGAAAATGACAATCATACCGCGACCGAGAATGACGTCAGAGCCCCCCAAAGTTGGGTGTGGTACAAAACTCGAGCTTTCAGAATCATGGACAATAGGCAGAGTACATAAACAATCGCTCACGTTCAATAACAAGTCATTAGTAGCGTGTGTGACCACCAAATGCCTCAATACACGCAAAAACTCTTCGACGCACAGAAAAAGTCAGTCGTCTGATGAGGTCACGTGGGATTTTACGCCATTCTTCTTGGAGGGCCAAGATCAGTTCTTGCCGGTTGGCTGGAGAGTGTGGTCGTTGTCGAACACGACGATCCATCAAGTCCCAGAGGTGTTCTATGGGGGACATGTCGGATGAGCGTGCAGGCCACGGCAAGACGTTGACGTTGTTGGCTGCGAGGAAGTTAGTGACAGTTCTGGCTGTATGGGCTCTAGCGTTGTCATGCTGATAAATGACACCACGTGGCTGCTGTTGGAGAAATGGTAGGACAACTGGACGAAGAATGTTATCCATGTAACACTGTTTCCGTCAACGATGACCAGCGGTGTCGTCTCCTGCCCACAGATACCTCCCCACACTATGACACTCCCTCCACTTTATGGTACGACCTCCTGCACGCAACACGCCGCCGTTCGTTCACTCCTTCGGCGGTAAACACGTTGTCTTCCATCAGCCCTAAACATACAGAATCGACTTTCGTCAGTGACGACAACCCTCTGCCAGTCACGTCGTTGCCAACGTCGTACAGACCGGGCCCATCTCAATCGCAGACGACGATGTTGCGCTGTCAATAGCTGTCCTCTGTATGGTCTAAAAGCCCTGATTCCATGAGCCCTGGGTCTTCTGGCCACTGTCTGTCGACTTACCCTGTGACCTAAGGCATTTGTCGCCGATGACGTCACTGTCAGGAAGCGATTTCGGAGGTGCAAGGTACGCAAGTACCGGTCATCATGGGGCGTGGTCACCCTGGGTCTGCCTGTTCTTGGCCTGTCAGCGGTCCGCCCCGTCTGTCTGTAACGTTGCATCAAGTTGGTAACGGCAACACGGGAGCAACCGAAGGTTCGTGAAATATGGGCGTGGGTGGCTCCCATCTGTACCATACCCAAGGCTCGTTCACGTTGTTCGACTGTGAGTCGTGGCATTTCTTTTGTGTTTTTTTATCACTGTGGATGTCTGACTTGCCGTGGCAATCGTTTTATACCCTTACCCGCACGTGCATTTGCAGTTGTCCGCGGTGCACGTGTTTTTCACTTTTTCGCGTGTTATCTCGCAAACATGTAACAGAAGATTAACATTTTCTGCATACACTATTGTTGTATTTAGGTTATGTGTTTTAGATAGGTTTCATCAAAAAAATGTATACTTTTTATATTTTCAGTTGGTAAAGTTTCTTTTGCACGTCAGTTTATATTCTGTACAATGTCCCTCATTCAGTCTTGCTTGACAACGGTATAAGGATCTATACCGAGACGCCGCTTTTTACAGTATTAAAGAAGTCGTTATCCATAAATTGTGTCTACTTTTTACAGTTGTTCTGTGTACTAACAACTATTCGTTTGAATAACAATAAGTTGAAGGAATTGTAAAATATAAATGTTTAGCGTTGCTGCTGTTATGTGTGCACTGAAACTGTCAAGAACATTTTGTTGATGTGTCTTCGTAGAAATGTCATATATCAATATTCATGCGCAACCAGATTTGAAACCGGTCTCGGTTTGGTCTGTTTAACGAACGAAAATTGTTATTTATTTACACTTAAATACACATTAAACACAGTAATAAATAAAATACCACACTCATACTCGTTGGATACCATTGAAATTTTTCCTTGTTTCATAACCGGAATGAGTGCAGTCTTCTATATATACACACCCACAAAACCACAACAGGTTTCTCTACATGAGATAACTAGAATGTTCCCTGACGACGGAGATAAGGAGGGGGTGCTACTTAAGTCTTGGAGAAAAGTCAAAAGTTGCACTATTCATAGACATTTACCACATTCATGAGCCACAAAGGTGCTGACAATATCATAATCAGGGAGGAACACGAATTGGAGTAAATGATCATGGTTCACAAAGTTAAGCAACTCTGATATGTGTCGCCTTATGCCACTGAGCTACACATGTCCCCATAAAATATATTTATCGGGATGTATAAAAAGACTTTTTACAAGCTGACGGTTATTGTATATGTTGATTAATATCAGCAGTGTAACGCCGCACTCAGCAATAGTCAAGCAATATGACGGCGGTCTGTAAACATTCGAGTCTGGACCCTATAATCCATGTCATCATCAGCATTGATCCACGTAATTTGAATACGATGACATGCAATAAACCAAGTCACTGAGCCTGAACTCACAATCTATTTAGTTGCCTCTAATGACAAGCTTGGGACCTACGAGGGGAGGTAGAAATGTTCTCAGCCGAACTGCGAACATCTTCCCGAGGCAAGAGAGTTAACTGACTTTAAAAGTCCAGTTTCCACCCTTGCCGAACTAGGCTGGACTTCCTGGGCTCGATCGTAGCGCCACCAGTGGCTATTACGAGTTATGTCCTTTCTATGCCTCTCCTATTGACCAATCAGATTCCACCTCTCGTATCACTTGCATTTGCTTCAAACAAAACGGTGGCGCCCAGTCAAGACGATCTGATTGATAATCAAGATCTATATTGTCATAAAACGAGTCTTACATCGCGAAGTGCATCAAATCACGTGAGCACCTTGATTAAAAGCATGAAAAGATTTGGAAAATATCTGTTGACAACGAGTTTGCGGTGCACATGTTTTGCAAATCCTGCAGTCGACCGAAATCTGCATGACACTTTACGAACCGGATTTCGATTTCGGTGCGCGATTTTGATTGGACATTGCATTGACTCCTTAGTCCAGCCAAAATGTAACTCCATAATACCAGCCTAGTTCGGCAAGGTTGGAAACTGGACTTTTATAGTCAGTTAACTCACTTGCCTCGGGGAGATGAACTGCGAAAAATGTACAGTAAGTTGGTTGGTTTCTTGTTTAACGCCGCACTCAGCAATATTCAGGCTATATGACTGTGGTCTGTAAATAATCGAGTCTGGACCAGACAATCCAGTGGTTGATATCACGAGCATCGATCCACGCAATTTGGATCGATGACATGCATCAACCAAGTCAGCGAGCTTGACCACCCGATCCCGTTAGTCGCCTCTTACGACAAGCATAGTCGCCTTTTACGGCAAGCAGGGGTTGCTGAAGACCTATTCTACCCCGGATCTTCACGGTTCACGAAGGATGTAAAGAATATCCTTGACAGTTTGCATGTATTAAGTACAATACTGTCCATTCTTACAGGCTGCATGTGAACCAAATACACAACCAGGCAGCATATATCTGCAGGCATCGAAGTGATTAGGTATTCTCTGTGGATGAAAATTGTCAACATTGGCTAACACGCTGTCATCACAGGTACGGTGATGGCTTCGGGTTTTCTTTTTAATTCCTAAGGAATCCTACTGCTATACTACCTCCCGAAATGTCAGACAATTAATAGCCAATATTACCCTAATCTGCTTTGTCAACCGCGTAAGAATATCACGGCAACCAATTCCATCAACGCAGGCAATCATAGTAAGGCTCCGAACGTTTCGGCCATCCTTTATATATTCCTTTACCAGGAACCCCAACGGGTTTTGTGGATGTTGAGATCAAACATCGAGGACGGGACATGACCGGCCAACGAAATGAATGACATGGATACTGACTGACAATCGATACAGAGTGGTTAGACGTGTTAGAAAGGCATTTACCGATCGACGAACAAATTTAGTGAGTAAATAGAGGTTATCACGCGAGTGTGTTTGGGGATGGTAAATATCCTGCATTAGGAATAAACATTGTATTTAGCGAGCCTTGGCGAGCTAAATACATAGTGTTTATTCCTAATACAGGATATTTACCATCCCCAAACACACAAGCGTGATAACCTCTTTATCATATAATGTCATTCTTTAATTCTGTGCTTCAAAATCGCTTTCCCTCTCTCACATACATAACCGAAACATTGCGAGTTTTTCTGGAATGCGCGCATTAATATTTATTACGTCACAGGGTAAGTGATGTGTCAGTCGGACAGTGACAGTACCCAATATAGTTCCAACTGAAATCTGTTTCTTATACAGTGGCGAAGCAACATATATGCAAAACAACAATTGTTTTTAATTGCCTTTCGCGGCAATCCATCTGTCTGTCCGCTAGAGTAACTGCCCTTTGTCAAAGGGAAGCTACTCTAACCCTAGTCTATGAGACGTCACGGCCACGGTCAGTCGTTGTTGACAGTCGGTCTGTCCTGTCATAACGTTAAGAAGTGTAGTCAGATGTACACACAGCGACAAAACGAAACAAGGTAACAATTCAAACATATTTCGGACAAATCCAACTATTTTAATTTGTGGAGAAGGTTTCAAGCCGCAGAGGTCTACAAGCACAGATATGGCTACTGATCCCGCTTGGCTAGGCCTCGTGCCCTCGAAAAATTGTTTCGAAATTTATATCTCTAAAGTTGCCCAAACTTATAAAATGCCTTAGCTACGTCACAGTTAGAGACTGAATTTCAGTATATTAGACTTTTCTTTTGATAATGATAGCAATTATCCCTGTAGTTTATCCAGATTCCCGATGGTTAATTCTGACTCGATCCCCGAATGATGAGGGCGACGCCATGTTTGTTTATAAACAGTGAAAGTAGTCCCTACTTGACCTTTGATATTTGCATCTCTATCTGCATATGACCCCAACGGATATCATTTTTATCCGTTGGCTTTATCCTGCCGAGAAACCTACCCATTATATGATAAATGTTGATACCCAGTTCAACCACGGTGGCATGTAGAAGATCGAGTATTTGCCAGACACTCCAGTGGTTGGTAGCTTGAGTAAAGATCAAACCCCAATTTGTGGCCACCCGAGTCCCATTTCAGTCGGAACTCACAAGCACATGCTACAGGGGATCTAGTCAGCTCACACACACACACACACACACACACACACGCACACTCACTCACACTTTGCACGTCCGGCCATGGGCCATTTAAGCGTAGATACCTACCGAAAACACACTAATCATACAATTGTTTTATTTCTATCAGTTACAAAAGACGTTACTCTTAGAGTCAAACCTCCAGTCGTCACTTCTACCAGTGTCATAGCTAAATTTCACACAAAGAATACAGAGGGCTAATAATATGGCAGTAGTTAATGTAAATAATCACTTAATGATTAAACAAGCTATAGTAGGTGAAATGTTAACGTGTTCAGTTGCCGTACACACATCCTGTCATAGCCTCGTGGTATCTCGGTGTCATGATTATTATATGGAGGGTTGTAAACTCGAGACAATAAATCAGAGACGTACTTAAAATGACTTATTGTTATGTCACGTGTGATTGTCTAGACACGAGGAGGTAAGTACTTCAGATAGTTTCCGCCATATGTCGCTGTCTCGTCAGAGGACTATTTTCAAACTGAAATGCGTGTTCAACGGTAACGACAGCGCTGACTTGTTGATTCTAACTACTTTATTCACTGGTGCTGGTATCCTTATGGAGTATGAGTGAGTTTGATTTTACGCCGCTTTTAGCAATATTCAAGAACATCACGGCGGGGACACCAACAATGAGCTTCACACATTGTTCCCATGTCGGGAATCGAACCCGGGTCTTCGGCGGGACGAGCGAACGCATTAACCACTAGGCTACCAGACCGCCACTCCTTATGGAGAAAGTACCGAATATGCAAGTGAAATAATAAAGATGTTTACATTCATAAGTCAACTCTTTCTTTCAAAGTGTCACTTATAAATAGTGTGCGCAACAGGAGCACCGTGTCTTTCATGATTTTGTCCGGTGTCTGAAACGAGTCCTCCATCAGTGCCTGACTAAGGGTGCATGGAGCATGTTTCGCAGCAAGCTTTTCTGTAGTACTTGTGAGAACAGAGTTTGGCAGAAACCACCAGGTGGCACTGCGTCTCGCCGTCATCCTCACATCTTATCTCTGAAACAGAAAATAAAATCTGTGTAGCCTTCTTGCTATGGAAGGGGGTGGTGTCATCTAAAGGTCGGCACACACTGAAGGTCAGAGCTGGTACATTTACCTACATCTATGCAGCACATTATAGCAACAGTTCAGGAAATAAGTCTTATATATAGAAGTATAGTCTGGAAGTTATTTTAAGGTACCGACGTTTACTACAATATCTGAAAAACTATTGGACTTACTCCAGTCAAAGTTGGTATGAGATTATTAAACAGTCATACATAACTGGATATTACATTTAAAGACAATCGGTGCATGAATAAAAAAATCTGTCTATTTATATAGGTGTAACAATTACATTGGACATTTATAGTGTATGTTTAATTGGGGTCAGTTGTACGTTACAGTATGACACTGGGAACCTTACAGCGCATGATTGATATGGAAATGCGTTAGTAGAATGCATGAAAGGTGATGCATCTTTCGTAGAAGACAGAAACAAACGAAAGCAAAACGAAGTTTCTGGGTCCATGATAATATACCCTGTGCGACAGAGCAGCACTCGGTAAATATCTTTTGGGGGCCGATCGAAAAAGTGTCTGCGCTGCTGGCGTGCTGCGTTAGTGAGATTTTCTAATGAAAAAACATTTTCGCGATTTTTATCAATAATCTTCTTCATTGTGACTCAATCCCCGACTTAAATCACCCAAGAGTGACTTGGGCCTTTGCTGAGATCGTTCTGCAGTGAGAGAATCTGACCACTCTAGAGTGTTTGAGCCAAGGCTCAGATCACTACACCTGAGCTTAGAGCACTCCACACCTAGGACTCGCTACAATCCTTTGTAAAACTACATGGCCATTTCTTTTCTTTGACACGTCACGGACCACATCAGTGTGAATAGTGTAGATACACGTATAAATTCCCTTACCCTTTTCGCATGGCTGGAGTTGACATCGTTCCCGTTCATCGGGTCGTATTTTAGCGTCGCACACTTCCGTATCCGGCCCTCCGTAGCATCTGACGTCACGGTACCGGAAACCGGTTGTGCCACACGATTCAGAACACTGGCAAAGAGGAAATAGACCGTAATGATAGGAAAAAAATCGTTAAACACATGATAACAGTTGAATCCAGTCCATGGCTATTCAGGGTAAAAATACGTCTGCAGTACCCATGCTTATACCTGGTCCCTGGTTGAAGGTGTGTCGTGTCCGGATGGTTGCAACGACAGCTGTTTGTCTGGGGGGGGCGTTGTACAAAGCGACCTTAGCGCTTAGGTGATCGTAACTCCCATATATTAACAAAGACTTACGACAGTCGTAGCGCTAAGGGTGTTTTGTACAACGGCACTCTGGTCCATAATATTTACAGGCTGCTGTGATATAGATGTAGGCATGTAGGGGCTACGAAAAGGGCTTTGCCTTATTTTTTCTGGCGCGTTCTGTACTTATATAGTTTTAAGACAGGCAGGTGCGTACAAAAAGTTGATTGTAGAGGTTTTCGGGAAGAGCATCTAATGTTTTTCGAAAATGAATACGACTTTTGGAATGTATACGAGAACACTTCAAGAGATATAGAGTGAACATTTCATCGAGAGCCGCGACTTGTTTACAGCTGAATTTTTCGAGAAGTTCGAAGACATCGGCTCTTTTGCTGAACTTCAGAAATTGACCACGTTCATGCCCCACGCGTGTAAATGTAAGTGAACAAAGGCTACAAGAAGTTATCAGTCATATGGAAGTCCGATACCCTTCATACGTTGTTAATACCCTTCGGAAACATAAACATCTAAGCAGACATTTTCTATGATACTTTTCAATTTTCAAAAGGGCCTCACCTCGGACCACTCTGTGGTGTACCAGGCTGCACCACATGGCGCGGTGCGACACCTGGTGGTGGTGGGGGGTCTGGCTTCCTCTATGCAGTACGAGTCCGGCCGGATGTGGAAGCTGCCCCTGCTGGTTGCGCCGCATACAACACGTCTCGTGGTGACCCCTCCACCACAGGTCACAGAACACTGTAAAACATTATTCCTGTAAGTGGTCTCAAACTGAAGCTACTTTGAAGCATTATTCGATCATGATTCATGAATGTGAATGAAGAATGGGTTTACGTCAAACCGTGCGTGATACAAACAGTGTTTTCGGAACCTTTCAACATGACAATTAAATTCGTCATTGCCATTTCTACGCGGAAAGTACTTCACGTTTGTTTGCTGATATGCCACGTCGATTCCCATGTGGCCCACCAAAATGGAAATGAGCCAAAACTTCCCCGGTGCCGACCGTTGAAGATGATACTCACAAACGCAGGCGAGGTGCCGACACCCCAATCATAATAGGAGCCAATCTAGGATGATTCGACCCCCGCCACTAACCCACGATCCTGGCAGCTAAGAGACAACCTGCTTCTATACACATAAACATGGCAACATGTGCCTCCGAAATGATAACCGAAGAAAAGATTCGATATGTCTATGGATTATAGGGGATCCGTGCTGGGTCCGCATACCTGAATTATGATGACACTTGTGAGGCCACTGGTGGTTGGTCTAAATCACAGCAACGAGCAGATTTCTTCCCTTGCATGATGAGACCTCTGGTCACAAATTCGAATACCAGATTCGCCCTCATTAAGACCCTTGGTCCAGCGTGAGTATCACACAACTGGAAAAGGTCTAGCACCTGATCACTCTAGGATTGCCTCCCTTATGATGCTGCCTAATGTGATGTAAGTAAAATACTGCTCAAAGCCATATAACGCTGTTTACCCATTACCCTATCACGTTGTCGATGACATGTAAAACCTGCTAACCCACCTCTCCCCACTCCTGGGGCACCCACTTGTTCTGGCAGTGACCGCACGCGTGAACAGTGAGGGGTTTGGTATTGTAGTCGCACTTCCGGTCGTCAACCGCCCGGCCTTGGTTGTCCCGGCAATACACCTTCCGCTTCCGCACACCACACATGCCAGAACACTGAAACACGGACATCAATGGCGTGAGTTACGAACAATACATCAACACGTTTTTTACAGCCTCCGAGACGTTACCGTTAAGAATGCAAAAACATTCCGGATAGCATCTCAAACAACATTGGCTTCAAATTATCCACATAAAGTATTGCGTTTGTCCTCCCAACATGGGCCACATTTTATGGCTGCTAGAACATATACGAACAAAATAGGTGAGTGGGTCAGAACCAACATTTAAATCAGACATTTTTCTTCTTGAAGGTCGCGCCATGTGTACTCAGAGCGAACTTTGCCAAATCTCTGTAAGAATGAGTGGATTCTTGGGCCAGTCAGATGTCAGGTTTTTAAAATAGCTTCATTTCTTTACCATCTCTATTCGGAAATTTCTATTTTAACAAAAGACAACACACAACACAAAAGTTAATATTCCTTTGGTGGTGTATAACATCCACAATAAAACAATGGTGTGGCCTTAATCATTTACATTAGGAACATGCTGTTTAACTTCGTATTCGAGATATTGAAATCAGAATTGCTGGTCCGAATGTTTCACTCAGTCATAACGAAAAGAAGCCTCGACTTCCTATGAAGGAGTTGTCAGATCTCACAAAGATATATTGGGTCAAAAAGAAACGATACATTTCTTGAAGAGATTTTGCATAACACAGTAATGGAGAGAATAACTGCGACTACTGGGAAGGGAGTTTACTATTGTTACAGTAACAAGACAGTATTCGCTATCAAAGCAGTTCCGAGAGATAGGAGACCATGTAATTCATATAAAAGCTATTTATTAATTAATCAAAATAAAGAATACGAGCAAATCAAAATCGAGCTAAGAAATTGTTTTCGGTTGATGGAGCTCTAGCCGGTCGGGCTGCGAACAAAAAACTTATAACGTGTCGCCTCCAGTAACTCACAGACGACCAGGGCAATGTAAACCAGTGGTTGATGCACGGCTTGTTCCTGCAGGGCCTTCTGTCAGGGGGCCTCCGGCGTGTGCTGCACGTAGCCTCGTTTTCATTACTGCACCGGACGTGACGTAATTGAACACCATAGCCGCACTCTGTTGAACACTATGAAGCATGAACCCAATTTAGAATAAATATCATATTGAGTAAACCCACGTTATTTCGGGTGAAGCTTTTCTTGTGAAAATGTCAGTAATAACAAATAATAACCAAAGAAACTCCTTTACATTACACATAGACATGTAGGACAAAAATCGTCCGGAAGGGGGACTATCGGGGTTTCAATTTTGGTTATACGTAGGTGCGTGCACACCACACTGACACCCCTATAGTCTCGCCTCCGGACGATTCGATATACCAAGGGACGGGCCTCACCAGTAGGTTATCATCAACGATCTGGTTTGTTTTTCTGTTTTGCTTTTGTCTGTTGTTTAACGCCGCACTCAGCAACATTCAAGCTATACGACGGCGGTCTGTAAATATTCGAGTCTGGACCAGACAGTTCAGTGATTGATACTATGAGCATCGATCCACGCCATTGGGATACGATGACATACAACAACCAAGTCAGTGGGCCTGACCACCAGGTCCCGTTAGTCGCCTCTTAGGACAAGCATAGTCGCTTTTTTAGGTAAGCATGGGTTGCTGAAGACCTATCCTACCCTGGATCTTCACGGGTCTTATGGATGTACTTGGATATATTGATACGCCCTGTTCCTTTTTCCCTCAGTCTATGGTAGAAATCGCAAGTGTAACCTACGTATAACCAAACTTGTCCGATATGAACCATTTGTCGTTAACAGTTAACAGTTTACAGCATGTAGTCAATATTAATATCCCATACCTCTTCCCATGCTGATATTTCCCATTGTGGAACACAACTTCTCAGCTTACGACAGGTGCGAACTGTTTGGGGCTTGTCAGCGGGCTTGCATGCGAAGTCTCGCACAGTGCTGTCAAATCCGGGCGCCATCATCTGCCAACATCGCGCGGTCCTTTCCTGGCGTCCCTCCCCGCAACTCTCCGAGCACTCGCTCCACAACCCCGCCACCCACCTGGAACAGTCAAAATACCCGTGTCATTGTTTATCCTAACATGAATGTTACAGTCAGTTTCTTTGCCTTTATAGCATCTTTCGGTATGAAATGAGAACGACACAGCCGACACCTCGCAGAAGTTACCACGAACTCCTTCAAATGTAGTCATCGAGTGTCACACACGCACACACACGCGCACACACACACGCACACACACACGCACACACACATTAAGCTGACACGCTGCGATATAATTGTAATACTGTAAAACGGCGTTAAACCCAACTCACTCACTCACTTTAACTCGACATAACCCTACTGGCACCACCAGCGCTAATTACAGGCAGTATACACTGTCGACTGTTTCACAAGGCCGTTTGTCTATGTAAAGTGTTGGCGTGTCGATCGTCTCACTGAAGTATTCCATTGCCAAAGCTTCTCGAATTTGTATACAGAATGTACGCCTGTGTATACAAATCCTAGAAGTATTGACGAGTTCTCTCATCTCTATGAATTCTCTCATCTTCCATGAAAGAATCTTCGTTTGGTATTTTATTAATTTAGTGAGGGGGTGACTATGGTTTTACTACACTTTTTGCTATATTCCATCAATATTAGGGCTGCAGACACCAGAAATGGGTTTCGCTCATTTACCCATGGGGGGAATCGAACCCGGGTCTTCGGCTTGAGGAGCGAACGCTTTAACCACTAGGATACCCCACCGCCCATATAAATAGAAATATACAGCTATGTTTAGTAAATGTTGACATATATCAACGTTGTTCCATTTGGAGCATATCTACAACAGTATGAACATTTAAGTTATGCATGTTTGAAATGGATAAAAAATTTGAAATAAAGAACAACACAATCATTTGCATCGATGCCAGTGGTAGTCAAAATCTGATGGGTTACGTTGAAATAACTTTGTCAATTTTATTCAATGTTTATCATTCATGATATATTATGTGTGTGCTTCGTGTGCTTCGTTTCCGAATTTCAACAAATATTTATATGCAATTTTATTTTTAGCTTGGCTTGCAAAATATGAGATATTTGATGACTGTTGTCTTAGAGTGAGTGAGTGATGTGAGGTGATCTGCTTCACATCGGGCTTTCCTCCCACATTAAGCTGACACGCCGCGATATAACTGTAATACTGTTAAAAGCGGCGTTAAACCCAACTCACTCACTCACTCTGAACCTATCCTTGTGGATTTATCAATAGAGTGGTGGGGGATTTTAGAGACGCTTCAGTGTGGTGTTTCTAGTGTATCCGTCACTATAAACCGACGATGAGTGGATGAGCGGTTTTGTGCCTCGTGTAGCAGTATTTCCGCAGTATCAGGACTAAAGATACCAGAGAGACAGATTATACACACACGCGTGACGAGGCAACGCTTAAACCTCTAGAACATCCCACCGCCGATAATCGTAATACCGATATGTCTGTTGGAAAATCGTGAATAATTCTGAACTGTAAATGAGTGTGTCGGTGTCAGTATGGGTTGGATTTAACCTCGTTTTGAACAGTGTTTCAGTTATAACACGGCTGGTCAGATATTGTGGGATATCCCGCAGTTGTGCAGGTCTTTGACGTTCACAACAAGCATGGGTATGGTTCTGAAAAACTAAGGGTGATCGGCGACGGCGAAGGGACGCCAGTCTACACTGCGAATCGCAGCGACTGAGACCACTTGACCATCCGCGTAGGATACATACATGTATGTTGACCTTATATTTGACAGGAACAAATTGATACAACATGTAACGAGACGTGTTCACCAGTTTAATAATGAGGCTTTATTAGTGAGTTGGCGTTGATCTTTGATTGGATACCAATCTGAGTGGTAAAGGGAAATGTTATATATATATATATGGGTGAGATACAATGAGATATATTGTCTCGAACTGCTTACAAGTCGCTGTTGTGACAGCCATCAAAGACCGTTTACCTGGGTTTACAGGTTCTGCCTGCGCATGCGTGGTGGGACGGCGGCGGCTTCGTTTGGCCGTTGCAGAACCTGTCATCTACCCTCTCGCCCGTGCGTTGATAACAGCTGAAAAACGTCACCGTGGTCCCTGCAATACGGATGGTTATACACCGGCTACATGAGTAGTTATACATAGTGGTCCCTGCTCTACAGACAGTTATATATGGCTGTATGGATGATAATACACAGTGGGCCCTACAAAATAGATGGAAGTGTAGAGAGGAGTAACAATACACTACTTTAGAGCTTTTCTCATAGTTAGAACCGTCATTTACACAATCTATAGTTTCAATATGCCAGTTACTGGTGATACTAATATTTATTTAGTTCATTAAATATATATTGGTATCAAATAAATGAAAACTGCACCTATTTCGCACGTGGAAGTACAGGGCGTGACGTCATTGGCTCGCCAGATGAATCTGTCTTCTTTCTTTCTCTTCCTTCCCCGGCCTCGACGTCTTCTCTCTGACAACAGCAACGGCCGACTAAAACCTCCAAACTGGGTCATCAATATCTCCTATTAGCCGAACGTCATGGCTAACGCTAAGTTCACATATTTGTCAAAAATAAGTTATAAATCTAGGATTGTGTTTTAATGTATAATCAGAATTAACCTCATGAATACAACAATCACGTTTTCATCACAAATGCTCTAACTGCAAACGATTTCGTCAAGATTTATTATCTGATGAAGCAAATGTAAATATTGAAACACCCTAAAAGGTTCCCCTTAAGTTAATGTTGTTCGACGCCGCAGTCAGCAATATTCTAGCTATAGCACGGCGGCCTGTAAATAATGTCATGTGTGACAGGCAGCCAGTGGTGGACATCTTGAGCAACTATCCACGCCGTCGGGGCACGTTGACACACAAACAACAAGATCACACAGTTTAACCACCCAATCCTTATTAGTCGGGTCTTACGACAAGCGTCGGCTTCTGGTACCCATTCCACCACGGGGATTCCCCCAAAGCTCCGTTATACTAGTCAAAAGGTGGCAATTACCTGCCTTCTCGGGTTTTCTGGTCGCGACTTGAATTGACAGGCCAACCTGAAGGTCTGGGCTTTCCCCTGAAAATAGTCCCATTAAACTAAGATGTGTCTTGTGTTCGAGAGTTGTACACGTTCAAGGCGACTTCCCGTTAACTATCATAATATCTCTATCTTATAACGAAATTCCCTCTACCGACTTACACAACCCAGACTTGTATCATGCGTTTAAGCTTCAAGTCAGATATTTAATTAAATAAATCATCGTGAGAAAGTGTTCTGTCTCCATCTCTTAAAAGTCAAATACATATTCCATCAAGTAGATATGTACATTTCAAAACCTCTGTAACATGGCATACCTTCTGAAGAATTGGATCCCAGTGTTCTGCTTGCAATGCTGAGGTCCTCCTTGGATGCCCTGGGGTCTTCGTCAGGCATGTAGGTGGGTATAGCTGCTTCCACGGGAGACCGCCTTGAGGGATTCACCACAGATACGTTTTCAAATGGCATTAGTACTTCGTCAGTTGGTTGTGGTGTAGTTGATATCTTTGTTTTCGTAAAGTTGACAAACCCGGTCGTCAGCACGGTGGTAGCTACCACTGTGTCGCTACCGTTCACGGCTGTACCAGGAGAGACCGGCGTTAATGTGATTGGTTCCACACTTTGAATCGTTCTGGTGGTAGCCGGCTTCAAAGTCGACTTTGCACTTCTTTCATCAGTTTTATAACCTTGAGAAGGCTCTGTGTTATTTTGCTTCATTACCATAAATCCTCTGGGCCAAGCTTCGGTACCTTTCTTCTGAGCAATGTTTGAAAACGGACGCGTTTTCTTTGCCCTATTTCCTGAGGAACGTGAAACGTTTTTAAAAATACCCATCTTGGAATAAACAGTCTTTACACTTTCTTTCCTTCTCGACGGCTTTCTTCTACCCGCAGGTTTATGTACCCTACGGCGATGCGCCGATCTTGAAAATGATTTCCGCCGACCAGATTTCGCAGGGCCCCGTCCTCTCATTCTATGAAACGTTCCAAATGTTCTTCCCACGCGTCTTCTGTGATAACTCTTGCCATGAGGTACCTTGCCTTGGATGACAGCATGTTTCCTTTGGCAGGATGGCTGAACTGTAGACGTGGCCAGAGCCACAATAGGCGTGGGGTTGGCGAGTGATTTATGTCCCGCCATGCCCCTCCCCGATACCACGTGGTTGTACAGGAGAGACTGCCATGGGTAGCTGGGGTCGGGATTATCGAGGCCGGCCCTGACGACCCCCTGGGTAGTTTTTGTTTTAGTATTATGGATAGTGTATTCATACCACAAGGATACCCTACTAGGCTGTCTGGAATGACCCTGAAAGTAAAGTCAAATACATGTAAGTCAACATTCATGCTATTAAAGATTAAACCGAACCACAATAATGAGCTGTGTCTACATCTACCATGCGTACCATGACAATAAGGGTATCGTTCAGAGGCCCTTCAGCTCTGATATTCTTCACTCCCATGCTAGGGTGGTAGTAGTATACCACAGTGCCAGCCACTAGCTTCGTATCTGTTGAGTGACCTCGCCCACTGCGGCCGTTGATGGACACCGTGCCCTGAGCGTTCTTCAGAGCTGTACATAGAAGAGAGTAAGTGAGTGAGTTATTTACGCCGCATCCACCCCAGCCTGTAAATAATCTAGGCTTGGCCAGGCAAACCGGTGGATGATATCATGAGCAACGATCCACGCCGTCCCGACACGATGACACATAGCGAAGTCACAACAATCAGCTTCCTGTGCATC